CCTTCTACACTACAGATTGTCTATATTTTAGAAGACGTGTATGATGAACGTCCTGCACCAAAACAATGCCATTATTCCTTTCATATGATCTCTGCATCATGGATCTATAAAAGGTGCTATAAATATATACCACTGCTGTTTTACATCAGCAAGAATATTGGAGTTAAGAAAAAATCTTATACCCAAACCCAAAACAAGTTGTATCATGTCTCAATTTATAAATTATATCATTGCAAACTGCTGCATAACAAACAACCCGCAACATTTCAAGTTTCTAATAGCAAACACACATTTCAATAAAAAAAACAGTGTCTTCTTGTTCTGACTGTAAATACAGGACAGAACAAAGGCACCATAGCTTAAGTAAGTTGCTCAAATTGGGTGATAAAAGTACATTAGAACTCATACATGTATTATGGACCGAGTTGCAGTTACACGTTATTGATGTGGAAGAATGAAGATTATGGCTTCCTTTAAAGCGGACAGATTCATTGGTATTGGGCAACAGGAAAAGCCCTGCAACAGTACCACCATTTGAGATGCTTACTAGAGATGAGATTGTTGATTCAGAATGTACACTCAAGCTCCAATTCTGAGTTGATCTTATACAAAACGTTGACTTGGCGGAACGGGTTGTTGCAGTTTCCCTGATTTTATTTCACAGGGTGGGGATTAATGGTTGTATAGAAAATGCAAGTCTTAACATTACTGTTCAACAGACTGTACAGCCACATCTTCACAAACATGTAGAGGAAATGATGAGAGCTATAAGACCTGAACCTGCAATAAACTGCAACAAGCAGTTTTGTTTCAGGATAAAAGCTACTGTAACACTAAAACCTCAGAGGCAGAATTTGTGGTTAAAAAATAAACTACTACTGTGTAATGCAAAAGGCTGTAATAGTTGTGTTATGTTTCATACAGTAGTGTTTTGTCACTACGTTATGAAAGAACTTAATGGGAACTTTGTAACGACCGAATAAGTGCTATATAAATAATATTACCAAGTAGTTTCATGCACAAAGTTTGGTTACAAAACACCTAAAGCTGAAAACATAAACGTAGATAACATACCGGTATACATTCATCAGCTCCAACAGATTTCATTCTCCCTTTTATATTTTTGTGTGAAAAAGAAAACTTGAGTTTGAACTTGATGCCAGCTGTCCACGGTCAAGGGCCCACATTTGAATATTACATTTTTAAAATAAACTGTCATAAAAAGCTTCAGTAAGGACTGTGTTCAGTCCTGTGTGACAGTATTTTCCCTTCAGAAGTCCTTCGGCTCCAGAAGACCAAAGGCCTACACTGCCTACCTGACTAACTGCTCCTCCTAAAACTCATGCACCCTCCAGCAAAGGCAAATGCTGTTTAAAAAAAACATCCCGTCTTTGTGCTGTAATGTTTGGGGCGTTATTTAAAAGGTGCCCTGTGGAGTTTTCATGTAAACAAACAAAAAAGTACATTCAGTGTTTCAAAGTTAAGTTCCTTCCTCATAAATCAATTGTAAAGCTGTTTGAACATGTCTAAACTGCATTGTCTACTGGCTAGCAGTCTCTCTCTCTTCCTTGTGCTGGTGTAGTGCTCCATTTTTGCCACCACCTGCAGATCAGTGGAAGTGTGTGAAACTATTAGCAGGAACATGTATTGCATATATATCTGCATATTGCTAAAAGATAAACTTCACAAGGAACCTTCAACTAAGAACACATTACATTAGTAGTAATAATAATAATAATAATAATAATAATAATAATAATAATAATAATCTGGCTTGTACTTTGATGAGTTTGACTGGGACAATTGAACATTAAATTCAACAAACACTTGGCGGGGGCTCTGATGTAAATCTCACATGGCATTCACTGCATAAAATGTTTTTCATTAACTCGAACTTTGCCCCCCCATCACCCAGCTGGTGTATTTACAAAGGTAGTAGTAACAAAGGCTAAAGCTACGTCAGTGATGTTGTTGCCCTCAGCAAACAGAGATTGAGGACAAACTTTAAAAAGTACTTCATCAAAGTGACACATCCAGTACAGGCCTCAGTAGGACATTTTATAGAATGAGATCCTCCACTTTAAAAACGTGACTTTTGTTCTAATGAAATAACTGACAAAACTTAGTTAAGTTACGGTAACAACAAGATTGTGGATCACTTGCCTAATGGTGCTCTTTGGAAGAAAGGTAATACTTAAGTTGTCCAGTTGTAACAGTAGAAGGTGACTGGCATTCATATGTCAAAGGACCTGCTATGAAAACATTCACAGTGTATACATTTGTACAGTGTAAGCTTCACTAAAGGCACTGCAGTTTGGATACATGAAGATTGATTGTCTGCTTGAGCCGAGCATTCTTACCATCTCCCATTCATTGTTTTAATGATCATTTACTGCTTTCTGGCTCTGTAAACAGTCTTTCCCACAGGAAAAAGAAACTTTTCCCTTGTATATCACTAGGCTACTATTAGTTACAGTGCATTCATGTTCAGGCACAGTTTGGCGATGTCTTACAAAATGCTGTTGAAGAAAAACTGTATACATTTAATTTAAAACTTAATTGAATCTTAAATAAGTTCTGAAGTCCCCCTCAAAGCACAATTTCTCAATGATAAACCTTTTCACTTTGTTGCACACATCCCAACCTAGACATGATAATTATTTACCCCAACTCAGTTTACAGTTCTGCAATTCACAAGAATTCAAAATTTGTTGTGTGGCAGCTTATTGGCTTCCCTAAGTCATAAAATGAAAATTCTTTAATCTGATAAAGAAAATAGAGGAACTGTTTCAGCGTCAGATTGTCAGATGGAATTAGAACCTGACTAACTAACAAAGTCTACATAATGTAGACATGGGATGATACAATAAAAATTTCATGTCATGATTATCTTGGCCAAAATAATGGCGATGCATAACATAATCTAAATAATCATGAAAATATACTTCAGACTTTTAAAATGACTAAAACATACTGGAATCACTTTACCTAACATTTAGTTAAGAAACACATTTTTTGCATCACAGATAAACACCTGATCTCCCTGTTCTGTTTTGGAATTTATACTATTTCCACACATCCAATTGAACTTTGTTCTTGCAACAGGCGAGCCGAGCCTTCAGTCATAGTGACACCCCAAGGGTTTTGGAATGACTGAAAGATGTGGTCTTCCCCTTCTCCCCTTGTTCAAAATAAATAAGGAAATCAATGTAAAACTGTACCATGACGAGCATGACAGCTTTTTCAAGTCAAGCCATGTGAGGATATTCACAATTATCCCGATTCATGACTGATTATGGAAACTCACCACGATAAATTTATGACTTGTTTTTCTTTATCGCAATACGCAATAATATAGTATATTGTCCCATCCCTAATGTTGGTGTTCATAAAGTCATTTGGGTGTCAAATGTGTGCAAAAAAGAGAAAATGTCCTGTACTGATGTCGCCATTGTGAAGCTTTTACTAGAAGTACTATGTACTTAAGCTGCATTTGCATGAAGAAGAAATGCTCAAACAATATTAAATAAAGAATTGTCTGCTGCAGTTATGAAAGGTAGACGCAGGATAATTACACTCAGGAAGGACTTCAGCACTCACTGTAGCCTTACAAGGCACATAGGAAACAATGGACTTTCCTTTTTTATGTAAGAGATGTAAACATTGATATTTGGACAGTTAAATTATCTTTTTAGCATTTGCTGTCATAATCTCCATTAGGAGTTGAGAGGCCTTGGACGTAGTGGACGGCGTCTGCGATGGTGAAAAATACAATTTTGTTTTCTCCTCCATCACATTCTTTTTTCTCTGGGTAGTATCCCCCTCTTTCCAGATCGTCCAAAACTGAGACATTACACTGGGCCAGCACAACCTTGATCCCCAGTTCTCCGTAATCTTTGCGGACCTCTTTCAGAGCATTGACTCCAGCTGTATCTAGAAACAAGATGGCGCTGCAGTCGATCACCAAGCTGCTTAAGCTACGACAAGATTTCATCAAGGTTACAGTCGTACCAGCTTCAACCACATCCTCTTTACCTGCAGCCTCCTTCTCCTGGGACTTCATATTTTGGCCTCCTGTAACCTCTTCCTGCTGTTTCTTCTTCTTCTTCAACTTGATAATCCGCGTTTTCTCCTTCACAGGATCAAGTCCTACACACCTGTAGAGCGATTTTTTGAACAAGCTCTGGTTGGCATAATAGATTGGAGCCTCATATCTAAAAACTGCCACTCCAGGATGTGTCCCAAGGCCGCGGTAAGACAGCAGATCATCATAATGCTCCCTGGTTGTAGCCCGGCCAAGCTCCAGGACCTGGGCTTTCTGGGTCCGGCCCAGGACGCAGAGGGCTGACACCAAAACCCCCACGAGGAGACCCAGCTCTGTGTTGACCAGCGCTGAGGTTGCCATGGTGATCATCCAGATGGAGGCATCGACATGGTTGACACGCCACATGCGGGGAATGTCGATGAACTTTCGCAAAGCTCCACGTAGATTAACCACAATGATGACGGCTAATACACACCTGGACAGGAAAAGGAAGCAAGAAAATAGGCAAAGGGCAAAGGTCGGGAAAGTCACTTGAACTTGAACCTGAGTCAGCTTTACGGTTTTTAAATTGCCAATGTAGTCTTTTGCGATTTAAATAGGGTTTCATCTTAGATTTAGGGACTGTCCACACGAATACGTTTTTGTTGAATCCGGATAAATACTTAATCGTATCGGCCTCGCGTCCAGACGGATACGGCGTTTGAGGTGTGAAAGCGGTATTTTTTGAAAACGGGTCCAAGAGTGAGAAAATCCTAAAACGCCGGATTGCCTGGAGTCATCTGGACGGCGAATGAGGATTTTTTTCAGAAACAATGACCTTAGCCGCCACCGCTAGATGCGTCATAAGAACAACAACAACAACAATGGCGGACCAAAAGCTTGTGCACAGCGCATGACCGACCAGTGTATTGGTGTGGCGGCGTCACAGCGCCACATACAGGCCTGGCATCTGTACTACAGCGTTTTGGGTCGTTTCCAGTGAATCCGTGTGGACGCAGATATTTCTGGAAACGACGCCATGTTTACGGAGATTTTTTTCGAAACGACATCGTACTGGGTGAGGCTGCGTATTCGTGTGGACAGGCCCTTAGTTCCCGGGGGGGCAGGTTGAGATGTTGGATGGAACAGATAATATCAACTCAAGAGACCAGAAAGCTTCACAAATATAGAGAGAAGGGATGATAGTAAAAGAGATAAGGAACAAAGACAACTTAATCTGGCCTCAGAAGATGTGTTATATTATTTATGAAGACATTCCGTATGTTCAGTGTAGCAGCAAGTGTCTATGGGTGTGAATGAAGATAACACCAGCATTGAAGTCAATCAATACTAATCATCAGCTGCAATCAGATCAATGGAGCGTGATCAAGGCTTGCCAAAGACTCAGAGGATCCCCCACTGTGTGAATTGCTGTTTACCTATCTAGTTAGCAATTAACTCATTTTATTAACTCATATTTCTGCTCTTTATTCCTTATTAATAATCATCTCAGTAATATTATATAGAAGTTGCAGGCTTTTTAAACACCTGTATCTTCACAGAGCGATGACCACAGTGTCAGCATTAACCCTGAACTACAACCATAGGTTATCAGTATTTGTCTAAGGCTGCCCTTGAAACCACTTTAGTGGTAAACAGAACGGCAAGCTCGTTTTTAAGCACTCTGATATGCTAGAAAGAAAACCCTTGAATCACTCCCATCCTGTGATTGTGCAGTATATATTATTTGTCTTATTATGATATGGCTTTAATTATACTACCACTATCAAGAAGCTATTGATAGCTAGCTTCTGTTGATGACAGCATGCAGGCCATCATTCCAGAAATCAGGATTTACTAATCACCTACTTAACTCACAAGAGGAATAAATAAGGAAAGACCTTTAAATTGATCACTAATTATTTTGGTGTGCTTACTTTTGAAGGGAATAGAAGAGCGGTGCAATAACGAGCAATACCAGCAGCAGGACAAGAGCGCTGACCAGTCCAGACACCTGAGTCTGGCACCCTGTGGACTCCTTGACGAGAGTCTTGGTCAGTGCAGCGCTGGTGGTGAAGCAACGGAAGAATGATGGTAGGATGTTGCAGAAGCCAATGGCGTACATCTCCTGGTTGGCATCCACGGTGTAGCCGTGCTTCTTGGCGAACATCTCCGACAGTGACACCGTGATGGCGAATCCCACAATAGCAATGGAGAAAGCGTCAACAGCCACATTCGGGATCAGTGTCCACATGGGCAGCTGGGGAGGGAGGAAGCCTGTGGGAATGTCACCAGCCACACCAGACCCATAATCAGTGTTGAAGTGGCCAAAGTGAGAAGCCAGGGTGGCGATTATCACCACAAAGAGCTCAAAGGGAATTGGAGCCTGGGTAAGGAAAAGAAAACAGACGTGACACACAAATCTTGGATCAATTTAAAGTTAAGAGCCAGTTGGTATGGTGCCCTATTTACGACATCTTGGACTTTCTAAGCTGAACTTTGTAAGGTTTAGCTGCACTAAAATGGGTAAGCTATATGCCTTCGCTGACATTTGTCATCCTCAGTTTAACCCCCTGCCAAGCTTTGGTTGAGCTGTGTTTAGCCTCAACTGTGCTTTGATCATTATAATACTAGCATTAACCTCAAAGTATAGTTGTGAACATGTTTTGAGGGATATGAAGTCCCACCCAAATTCTCACCCCATCCTTAACCGAGAGACACGGACCCCAGACATGTCTAATCTTAACATAAACATGAGTGGTTTCAAAGTTGCACTGGAAGTAAACTATCTCAAGGTATAAATGTAAAGATGCCTCAACCCAACGTTGAACTTTGTTGGACCAATTACAAGTACAACATTTAATGTTGGTGATACGTATTCATACAATTCCAATTTATTTCTCATCCCCCACCACCATGCTATGCTAACATGTCCAAAACAGATGTTTCATCCATATTAACAACTTTCCCCCCAGGGATCAATAAAGTGTTTCTGATTCTGAAATGCACCAGGTTGGCTTGCACTCACTCAACCAGTCTATATCTACAATGCTGTGTCAGTGTACACATAGCAATAGCACGGCTGTAAACGTCACAAATCACAAAACGAAGGAGAGAAGAGTGATAGTTAATGGATGCAAGTGTGACTCCAGCTTGTTGGCTGCTCTGATGCTCTATGCTCTAGTGATGTGAATTTGGCTAAACCCCTTTTGAACCAGATGGCTGTACAACCTCCTCTACTGCCGTCTACTGTGATTGACTCTTTGGCTGACAATGCTGTCAGCAGCCCGGAGGGAGAGATGCTATGTGGTGCATTAAGATTTTATAACTGAACTATGAGCAGGACATGCACTTTTAAGTTCTCTGACTGTGTGGAATACTGATATTTTCACATCACACGTGATATTATCATTGCAGGAACTGCTGATATGAGTTTTCTGTGGCACTGAACTGAAAAAAAAAAGGAATACGTAGACGAATCTTATTACTTTACGGCCAAATCCAATTTGACTTACAAAATGTTTAGTTGGGTACATCCCGAGTATGTTGTGACCCTAGGACGAATCAATAAAGAACCTTTGATTCTTGCTCTGTGAGGACTAAGGTTTACTATTGCAGAAAACAGCAATGTGTTAAACAACAATTTTTACATTTTTAAACAAAAGCTGTTAGCATGTTAAACTTATATTTAAATCTATACTTTCAAACATCACTTTGTTTACCTTTAGTTTGGCTTTGAAGCGATCATTGAGCTCCTTTGTCGGTATCAGAATGAGCAAACAAACCAAACTGGTCACCAGGTCACAAATGTTGGTGTTTCCCAAGTTGATGAGCAGGTTGTACCAGGTCTTAAACAGAGTGAACCAACCCTGAGGTCTGGGGATCTTCAGGCCCAGAAGGTATTTGAACTGGGAAGTGAGGATGGTCAGGGAGGCTCCTGTAGCAAAGCCACTGAGAAGGGAGTCTGAGAGATAGACAGAGACGAAGCCCACCTGGAAAATGCCCATTAGAACCTGAGGGAAAGAGAGAAGCATCAGGCAGTTTGGATACCCAAATTACCACATCTAGTTAGCTTGAGGTCATAGAGAAGAACGGAAGTATTTGTTGTTGGTACAGTGCATAAAATCGCCCCTGCTCACTTACCTGGTAAACTCCAGCAGTGAAGGTAACGGTGGCTCCCACTGTGATTGCATAGCAGCTTCTGTCACATTCCACCCCAACACTGTCATTCCCCTGGCCAGCCAGCAGGATGGCACTGGCGTTACTACTGACGCTGCTTTCTGTGAGGTATCCCGCCAGAGCTAACTCCCTATCTACAACCTGACCCACAAGCAGGCAGAGCACCCCAAAAATCCCCACTGAGATGTGTTTAGAAGAGCCTAAGAGGGCGTAGATGATGGAGGAGAAGAAAGATGTATAGAGACCATAAATGGGGTCCTGACTGGCCAATAAGGAGTAGGCTATAGACTGGGGGACCAATAGGATTCCAACAATCAGTCCCGACATGATGTCACCCAGCAGCCATTCCCTGAGCTGGTACTGTGGCAGCCATCTCAAAATCGGGACAAAGCCCAGTATTTTGGATTTAGCTTTCTTTGGGGTGCACAGGCAGTGTTTCTTTATTCGGTGTGACACGAGTGTTTTCCAGTTTTTGGCTGAGTCTTTCTCCACTCTCTCCAGAATGAGAGGCCGCTGCTGGTCGCTCTCAGCTCCATCTTCTGCTGTCGCACAGCAGTCCTCGCCATGCGTCATGATAGAGCCCTTATCTGTGGTGATAGGAAGAAAGAGTTCAGTTTAGTCAGCTTTATTTTTAAGAACTGATAACAGGAAAAAATGATGCTGTTATGCATATTTTAACTTTAGCAGCCCGCTACAATAACAACCATTGAGTAGCAGCGTGGAGGGGTGGGGTCAGCAGGAGCACTGTTCAATTTCAGGTCAGTGGGTGTGGGCCTGACTGCTTATTTCTGACATTTTGCTGAGACGGACAAATATTTCCGCCCATCGATGTTACATCACAATACAGATAAAGATACTTCCCTTATTCATACAGTGTAACTTATGCCTTTAGTGACCCTTAGACAGAGAACAAGGCCCTTTCTGGTAGTCACCAGTACTGACATATACATATCTACAAACTGAAGGTTTCTAAGGAAAATGCTATTAACAGCTAATGTCATGTGATATGCCATTCCCCCTCTACAGCCTTGATCAATTAAAGGCATTATATAAATAGGCTCCATCCATTTAGTGACTGGATCGTTTATAGTAATATACTTTTACTTGATCATACACATTTTTATGAGCAAATCATTTAGCAGGTCAAATATGTAAATTAAAAGTGGGCTTAGTTTGGTTGAAAGGTTCTGTTTTATAAGAACACTGAACTACTTGAATGTGGAAAAAGTCCAAACCATGTGTTAAAACTGAACTGAACGCAGGACAAAGAGTTGGTTATACAACGTAGACAAAAACAACCTTTCAACCCAACTGGTCTTATTTCACAGAGGTCTTTTACTCTGCTTTTCCAAACCCTACTAAGTGGCATCCCTGCTGGGGATGTAACGTTATGACTACTACTCTGTAAAACTAGATTCTAGCGCTAATAGGATTACGGTACCGGTAACGTGTTTGGTTTCAAGAGAACTCCTGTGTAATGTTGTGTTAATGAGATTATTGGTCTATTTACAGGCTATGTAAATGTTGGATCAAAGCGGAGGAACGTTAACTGTCCATTTGTGTACTGTACTGTGTAAAAGTCAACGTTACTAAATGACAGTATCTACTTGTCATAGTAGACCGTATCTACTACAGCGAGTGATATTCCTGATCTTCAAGTCCCGCTGAATAATTACCATTTAACGTTAGTTGGTCCAACGCAGTGTAACTAAGGTTAGCTCACCTACCTTACCTCAGTGCAGGAGCTGGCAACGTTGCGTTATCCGAGCTGTGAATGGGCACCATTGTAAACAAGTTGTCAACGTGGACACCGGTTGAAACTTTTAGCCGACTAACGTTACAGTAGTTACCTCAACGTGACACTTGGATAAACAACGTCGCTGTGAATGTGTAAAGTAACTTAAGTGACCTGAGCTGACCTGTCGCACTTTACCAAGTTGGTCTTCGGTTGTGTTCAAACACTCGAGTGTCATTCCGCCTCAAATTCATTTCTCTGTTTTAACACTGCTCTGTGGCTCCGTGCGTGATGACGTAAGGAACGTGAGCTCTACGTCACATGATCTGCTGAGACAAAGATGGTCTGTGGTGGCAGAGGATTCACTTTGTAGCAAAATAAATAAATACATTATGTATATTAAGGAAAATAATAATGCAAAGCATATGGCAAAGGAAGCTACTTTGTGTGGTTATTACAGTAAGATAACACGGTTTACTAAAGAAATAAATGAATCTTTGTACTGTAGCAAACCTTCCAGAAACACACACATTGCCTTTTCATAAACAGTCTCCTGTAACTGCCTGAACAGTATGCCCAGTGTCACAACTCTTCCTGGCTGACCTAAAACCCTAAACTCCTTTGAACCAATACAGAACTTGGAACTTGAGTCTCCAGGCTGTCAGGAGACTCAAGTCCCTCCCTGCTCTACCGTCACTCCCACCTCTGCCCACCCTGCCCCCTGCCCCCTGCCACAGACTAGGACCCCCAACCACCCCCACACACTCGAACCTCAGGGACCGCACATTCCACTTTCCCCCTGTTTATTTGCACTACACTGCACACCTCACCTGTTTAATTACATATTTAATTTATCCTATTTTATTCACCATGTAAATTACCTGAGTGCCTTAATTGTTGATTGTTGATTGCTGTTTATTTTATGTCTTGTTGACTGTTTATTTATGTATGCTAAATTGTTGATTGTTTATTTTAGTCTTTTCTATTAATATATATATATATATATATAATATATTAAATGTTTTTTTTTTATTGCCTGTTGCGCCGTGGGCCGGACTGAAATTTCATCTATGCTGTATGTCGTGCATGTATAGCATACTTGACAATAAAGTTGACTTGACTTGACTTGAAAACAGAAAAACAGTGGAAATACAGTGAAGTTTCAGTTCACAGGAAGCTGCCTTAAGTCTAAAAAGCCAATCACTCATGTCATTCATGTTGATGCTGGTGATAGGATATCCAGGAGCAGTGAGCACTCTTCTTGATTCGCAGCTCTCTGAACAGGCTCTCATTGATTGACACCATAGAAGGGGAATCAGATGTACAGTTCTGTAGTAGGTTTATTTTGTTATCACCAATGATATGACTTCTGTTCTTGCTGTTTGTTATTCTCTGTCTCAGATTCCTTAGAGAGGGTGTGAGGGGGCCTGGGGCATGATGCAATATGAGCTGTAGGAGAAACAAATGAGTGTAATACTGTCTTTTTACTATGACATAGCAACAATACTGAGTCCCATTGTATGTGCAACAGGTAACTTGAAGTGAAGAGAAGGGAGGGAGTTTTGGTCAATCTTGGTAACATTCAGTTATCAATTAAATAAGGTTGATACAGTAGAACATTGATGTTTCATTTAACTGCTAACTCAATTGGGCCTTTATTGCAAATGTACACAGTAACAGCTATAAATAGTTGAGTAAAAGGGAAAAAGAACTTGTCTGTGACATTTTCATGTTTTTTAGACCCTGTTTAATTGTTAACCCTAAACTACTAATACTGGCAGTTTATATAAAATAAAAATATACCAATGTACTATTAGATAGTTATAAAAAATGAAACTGTTAAGCAACTTAATTAACAACAAAAGTATCAAAGTGCCCATTTAAAGTTCTCCAACCACTATAATCCATGCTCATGTTCTCCATATGTTCAAAACGTTTGTATGCTTTATATGGTATATTAATATGGTATGTGTGTATATATACACTGCTTCATAATAGCTGCTTTCATAAGCTTAAGGGTTGGAAAGCAAAGGACCTAGATTGTGCTTTGGTGGAGTGGTTTGATCCTATGTAACTGACACATATTCAAGAGGAGAGGAAACAACCTTCTTTTAACAGCCACCTTTGAAGCCAGCAGGGACTAAGTAGACCTATTTTATTTATATAGCATATATGATTCATGATTAGTGTGGAAATAGTCATTTTTGCATTTTCACATATAAAATATTAAAATCATGACAAAGTGAATCTTTTTGGCGTCTGTACCAAACAAAGATGTTTTCTTAAATGTGAAGAACAAGATTTATCAGCCAGGGTATCTCTGCAGTACTTTATATAATCCTGTTTTGACGCAAATTTGACCTTTCTCAATAAAATGCAGCTTCTGTGATTTGCATATTGCACTTGGCCATGTTGCGATTTCAGTAATATTAATTTTGCCGCCCTGATTGTATTCTAAAATTAGACTCTGGGTGAAGCGTCGCTTAAATGTCTCCTGATATGAACAGACATACTTTTGTCCCATTGTCTGAAAACTTCAGTGGGTTGAACCAACAAATCACATTTTTTCTTGCAAAGTGACATTTTTAAAGTTAGTTTATAATCCTTCAGCTCATAAAAGCTACACTTTCCTTTAATCATCTTAAATACCAGCCACAACTGGATTTTAAGCTAGTCATCTCACGTGAAAGCCTGTTGTCCATAGTCATGGATTACAAAAACTGAAGTAAATTGCATGTCAATTATTTTTATGGATTTGTTTTAACACTTTGTTGGATCTGCTCATTGAGGTTTAACTAAATATGTGTATAGCTTCTTCTTTAAAGTGTAAACTATAACTACGCCCATGTTAGGATGTCTTTATGTGTTATATATGGCTAATAAGCAGTATGTCAATGCAGTAGCCTAGATGCCATGAGTACTCAGGACACTGCACAACAGCCCACAAGTGCTATGGGTGAGACAGAGAAAGGAATCCCAGGTTGTGTCATTAATCATTGGAAGGTGGTGTTATCCCAGTGTTGTAATTGGATGCAGGCTTATGTCCACACATGACCATTTAAAACCATCCTGGTAATCCTTTTTCTTTTCTCAGACACCTGTGGACTTGGTTAGCAGGACAGACGGATTATACAATTTGCTGGAGACAACACAAGGACTTCAACAGGTAGGACTGTTTACATTTTATCTAAAAAATCATTTGGATCTTTGACGTCAGTACATTATTATTTTTAATAATGTATTAATTTATTGATGAATTTATACATGAAGTACCTTGAAGTGCCAGAGGAGACAACTAAACCATGTCCTGGTGTGATAACACCCATGTCATGTATAATCTGACCTTAACATTAACACATTTAGATCATCTTATGACATATATACAAATAGTCTGCTTGGAACAATGGGAATGTCAGATTTTCCCACAAAAATATTATTTCCACATTAAAATCATTTAAATGCATTTATCATCTATTCCTTAAATGTCCTGAATGTATTCCTGCTGGACACAGGATGTCTCCTGCTTCACTGTAAAGTCCATCCTCAGTGGACGTGCACTGGTTGATTCAGCCCCTGTGTTTCCACTGCCCTGTTTCGTGTGATTTCAAAGGGAATCTGATCAAAGACGACCCAGTGGCAGGCATTGCAGCGCGGAGAATAACTGTGTAGAAACAACATTCTCACTGATGGTCCTGTTTGTTCATGTAGGTCATATGAAGGCATCCATATTAAAGCGAGACTGTTTCATAACCACCTTGTAGTACGTTTGTTGCCTTCTCAATTTGTTTACATTGACAGAGTGACAGGAGACAGATATTAACAGGTTATCATCTAGAATACTGCATTTAAGACTGCTGTATATACATATGCATACTAATGTATGAGTGATCTGTAGTACTGACTGGATTGAGCTGCTGGCATCTTTCAGCTCATTGTTTTTGGTTGTACAGCACATTTGGTGTAAGGTTCAGTCTCAGCACTCATCCACCCTGTGTCCAGCTGCATCAGGCAGCTGTTTTGAACCAATAAAGCTACTGTACATGACCTACCCAGCTCCAAATAACAGAAGACAAAGTCAGCCACCAGCTGGTGAAGGAAGTGGAACCTTTAGCGGTAACAGAGTCAAGCAGTTTTTGCAGAAGTTATTTGAGACCAAACCAGGGCTAAAAGAAGAGTGAATACCGGATTTGCTCACTAACCATTTAATAGAGCTTTGAGTGGAAGCTTTTTGCTATTGGATTAGTTTTAGCAGTTCATTAGTAATAGCTAAATGAAAGAAAGTGTTTTGCTTACCATCCAGCCCCAAGCAGTAATTCTTGTATTCCTCTGCCTGTGCCCTGTCAGCAGCAGCCATGGTGGACGCAGCGGCAGCAGAGCAGTTCCTGGATGCCAACCCGCAGTTCGCCAAGCAGTACTATGACATAAACTTCCGGCCCAAGGTCATCTCAGAGCTGCTGGACAACAACCGGAAAACCGAGGTGGACATCAGCAAGTTCCACGATCTGACGACAGTGGAGGAGAGCGAGGTCCTCTTCGACCTGATGCGGGACATCCAGGACAACCTGCAGATGGAGAAATCTGTCTTCAACCTCATGAGACACCTCAGCTTCATGTTGAGGGCCGACCGCATGAGCCTCTTCATGTACCGGCAGAGGAATGGAGTGGCCGAGCTCGCAACCAGGTCACTGGGGATTTCTTTTTGTTTAAAAAGTAGCCTTTTCTCTTTTTAACAACACGTCTCACAACCAGGAATGTTATCACTGAAACAGGGATCATGTATTGGTTACAGATTGGCTGTTTTTCACCAGCACCGTGCTTCACATTCATTCCGTTCCACTCACTCACATTTGGCAGCAATGATAGCGAAGTATCTTTATGTTAATGCTACAACCAGGCAACTCCATAAGTGAGTTAGAATGCTGTTGTTATGCTCAAAAGCACCTTGATGAGTAACAGGGGACATTTACACATTGTTTTGTCTGAATGGTAACTCTGCGAAATGACCAGTTTGATTTAAAAAGGTTGAAAAAAATAATTATTTTAAGAAGACCTGCTTTAATTGCATAGCACGATTTAATGTTTTTTCTAATCTTTACCTCCAGGTTATTTAATGTCAATAAGGATGCATCGTTTGATGACTGCCTGGTGCCACCTGACAGTGAGATCGTGTACCCATTAGATATCGGCATTGTGGGCCACGTGGCGTCCAGCAAGAAGATGGTCAACATTCCTGATGCGGCTGAGGTAGATACAGTGAATATTGTTTTTTTATGTGTTTAATGT